AGTTGCAAGATCGTTTATTTCAATTGTATCATTGGGATCAGTAAAACTTTTTACAATTTTCATCTATTTACTGAATTGTGGCAATATCTGAAACAGAAACTTCCTTTTCAGCAATTACACTAATATCTGTGGCTGCTTTATAAATATCATACTTAACACCAACTCTTTTTGTCATTTTCTTTTGCCTAATACTCATGGTCTTTGAAGCAACTTTTTTTCTGTTGAGTCTTATCTTTTACAAAGTTCACCAGACATACTTACTCTTTGTGAGACTAATTTGAGTTCAGCTCATTTTGTGATCTGAGTGTTGTTGGTTATCTTCCTTCAATTTGTAAAGACTCCAATAGTCATATGCTTGGACTGGGCATTTACATTTGTAAGAATTTACCCATTTTTTGGGAAACTAGATTTTAATTAGTATTCTTTTATATTATTTTTATTCTTTTGTATTCTTTAGTACTCTTTTGTCTACTTTTGTTTAGCACAACTTTACTTTATCGCCTTTCTCTTTGCTCTCCTACATTTCAAGACTCTTTTTATGTTACTTCTGATCAAATTGATCCCTTGCTCTTTATCCATTAGTCAATATTGTTGTTGTTGGTGACTTTAATGGCTCTAGTGTCAGTGACTCTGCAGGGATTAAAGCCCACAACTTTTGTATTTCTCAATCTTTAACTCAAATAGTCAACTTTCTATGTCACTGTCCAGACAATCCGAATCATTTATTTTCTCTACTCGACTTTTGATTGTAGTCAGTGCTCAGTTTATCCACATTCACTCTTAGGTGCTTCTGATCACAGTTTGATCACTCAAAAACTATTATTTCATTCTTCTTCATAATCTGAATCCCCCTATCATTGTACCTTTTACAACTACCTAAAGCTGACTGGGACTCTTTCTGTGATTTTCTTTGTCTTCCTGCTGACAAATCTTTCGTCTTCCTGCGAACAAATGTGCTTCTTACATATCATTGTAAATTTATGCAGGCATGGAATCTTTTATTATCTCTCAACGATTCCAAGCCAAGCTCTACTCTTCTCACATTGTGCTGCTGTCATTTCCAATCAACACCGCTACTTGCATATCTATCAGCAAACAATACTCCAGAAAACAGACGCTTATTACTGCTAGAAACAATTATAAAAAAGTTTTGTCTAACGCCAAAACCCGTTATTCTCAGGTCATGAAATCTCGTATTTTATCACAAAAATTAGGCTCTCGAGACTTCTGGACAATCTTTAATAGTATCAATTATAAAGGCAAATCTGTAATTCCACCTCTTTTTTATGGTTCAGACTTTGTCACCTCGCCTAAAGACAAAGCTGAATTGTTTGGTAAGAACCTTTCATCAATATCATTTCTTGGTTCCACTAGTTGCATTCTACCTGATTTAGTTGCAAAATAGGTTGATTCATTGCTTCCCATTTGTATCACTCCAGCTTCTGTATCTAAAGTGATTTCTTGCTTAAACTCTTCTACAGCTTGTGGTCCGGACAACATACCTGTTATAGTCTTGCAGAAGTATTCTCCAGAGCTGTCATCTTTACATTCAAAACTATTTAACAAGTGCTTATCAGAGTTTTGTTTTCCAGCCTGGTGGAAAGCGGCATATGTTTTCACTATTTTCAAAAATTCTAGAGAGCGTTTGATTTGTTAGTCTTCTTTGATCTGATCCATTAGTCTTCTTCCTATCATTAGCAAGGTTTTTAAATCTTTAATTAACAAACACAATCTCTCATCTTGAATCTAATAACTTACTTATCATCAATATGGATTTCAATCTTCTCGCTCTACAGCTGATTTGCTAACTGTAATAACCGATAGGTTTTATCATGCATTAGATAAAGGTGGAGAAGTTAAGGCCATCGCTCTTGATATTTCTAAAGCTTTTGATAAAGTTTGGCATGCTGGTCTTCTTCATAAGCTTTCTTCTTACAGTGTGTTTAATAACATCTTTTTATTTTATTATTGAATCCTTCCTTTCCAGTCGTAGTACAAAAGTTGTCTTCAATGGACAGCACTCTTCTTCATATTCTGTAACTTCAGGGGTTCCTCAAGGTTCAATCCTTGGCCCTATACTTTTTTTAATTTACATTAACAATCTTCTAGATATTCTCACATTTAAGGTGATATTGTTCGCTGATACTACTATTTACTCTTGTCATGATAAGAAGCCAGCACTCTCTGATTGCTTGGAAGGGACATTTAAGCTTGAAACGGATCTCACTTCTGCTACAGCATAGGGCTCACATAGTTGGACCTGCTCTTGCAACCTCCTCCATTATCACATCGTTGTAACGTTGCATCTCTTTCTCTTTTCTACAAATACTATAATGGGCAATGCTCTAAAGAGCTAGTGACTCTTGTGCCATCTACTCAAATTCATTCTCGTGATACTCGTCATGCAATTAAGTCTCGCCCTTTTTCTGTGACTGTTACTAAGTGCTCCAAAAACTTTTATTTCAATATTTTTATTCCTCAAACATCAGTTCTTTGGATTTTGCTTCCTTCATCTTGCTTTCCTGATTCATATAACTTGCAATCTTTTAAGTTGTCTGTCAATCGTTATCTTGCTCTACTATCTTCATACTTTCTCTTTTAGTAACTTCCAACTCTAATAGTGGTTGCTTGCAGCCTTATTGTAAGCAAAAATGTAAAAAAAAAATGTTAATGACTTTCTACAAGTATCAAGTTAAATTTCTGGACCCAGTATAATGCCTAATTCTGTTGGAAGACTTTCTGCTTAATTTTATTTAAGTTTACATAGCCCTTCAAAAAAATTATCAATAGCTTTTTCAAAGTAACTCATTTGCCTAATTTCATTTAAGTGCTCATGACAGGTTTCAGATGTATGATTACGAATTTTTTAAGCATCAGACCATGACTATTATTTACTTGAATACAATTTACATGTTTAAAATCTATTTTTTTCTGTTTAGTTGGTGGAGATGTAGGCAGTGGTATTGCCTGTCCAAAATGACTATTGTGTAATAAAATTTCATTGGAATATGCTATTTATGAATAACCTTTTGAATACATAACGGAGTGCTTTTCAAATATACTACAAGTTTTGAGTTATTTTGCCACTCTTGTAATTCTTCTAGTGTCTTAACAGCTTTTTTGCAATCCAAAATATTGTTTTATTATGTGCAATGTCACAAAGTTAAACTTTAACTTTATCTTTTATCATGCTACACACGTTAGCCATTTTAGACAGCCATTGTTCCCAAGCTTGTTTACAATAAAAATTACAAATAAGCACTTTACAATCTAAGTAAATTCTAAAACAAAATATTAATTATGTAAATTTGTTGTGTATTGTTTGCGACGGATTGGCGTCGTGTCTCGACTGATAGAGCGTGGTTTCCGAACCACTTAATATGCCCTGCCAAAAAACCATCAAAACCTCATATAATTTATATCATATTTTTCTTAATATCGTATAAAGAATAGACTTAATAAATACCAAGACACTTTAAAATTCAAAGCAACTATATTAACTCGTCTAATTTATCGACTTCGGCTTTTAGAATAAATAAGTTTCATAATATTGTCAATAATACAAAATACTGGGTTATTAAAGGGCCTCAAGAAATCACTCAGTTTTAGTTTTTAGCTTCATTGTTTATAATTGGAGCAAAAAAGAAAGAAAAAAGCTTTTGTTTACAATATTATATGCAGTGTATTAAGGCAACAGTGTGCGCTTAAATAGAATTTAGAATTTTATCCTGAGGCATTTCTTCGGCTAAGGATTTAAATCTGAAATTATAAAATCTTAAGCGCGGGAAGATTAATTTAATAGTTTATTAAACTAATGTTGAGTAGCTTTTAATTTATTAACTGTTAACTTATTTATATTAAAATATTTTTCTTTTGTATTTCTATAATTATTAAAACTTCGATTCTAATTTATTTGCTCGTTTCCAAACATCACAAGCATAGGTAATACATATTTTCAAACAAATCTGATTTTGATTTTAGAGTAGCCAGTTATTATAAAAAGGTATTACTATTAAATTTTTGGTTTTAATTTATTTGCTCGTCTCCAAACATTTATCACGAGCATAAGTAATGCATATTTTCAAAGAGTTCTGATTTTGATATTAGAGTAGCCAGTTATTATGACAAGGTTTTAACGTGGAGATGATCAGTCGAACAATCAAAAAGCAATAATTTGTTATTGAAACTGTAAAAATTCAGAAAAAATAAACATGAAAGATAATGTAGTTAACATTTATAACTTATGATATGTTATTTTACGTTATTATACATTGTTATACATTACAAATTGTTATGTATAAAATGTATTATGATATAATAATCATCATATCTTACAAACAAAGGAGATGTTAGAGGGGTATCATGTGCCTTTAATGTTTATCAACTCTTTTTTACATTGTAAAATACCAATCTTTCTTAAAACAGTTTGTTTTAATGCAGTTTATTCTATGTTTATGGAAGGGATTGATTTTTTTAGACTTTTTTTTTTAGGATTATTTTTTTTATATGTTTTTATTGCTTCCCTATTCTACAGCGAGACAAATCTGTTGTGTTACAGTTAGTGACTGTCAATACTCTCAAGAGTTCTTTGTAATTTGTGTAAAATATGTTAGAATATGTTTAGTTTACAAATACTATTTTGAATATATAGTGTGAGCACTATCTAAAATAGATAGTGTGAAAACTATGTCTTTGACATAAAGAGTCAATACCACATTTATGTTATATTTTATTTAATGTTTTTAATTGTAGTTACTATAGTTATTTCGAATATTTAAAAATATTACCAATTAAAATGGTTATTGTAAAAGTTACAATTTTTAGTTCAACTTCTTGCACCAAAAGTGCAAGAGATAAAACAGCATAAATAATTTTTAAATAGTTTTCAAATTTTTTTAAAAAATAAAATATAATTTGAATAAAAATTGTTTATTACATTACTTTCTAATTTTGTAATTTTATTGAAAATTGATAATTGTGTATTACATTACTTTTAATAAAGTAGGACCTACTTTTTAGATACGAAAAAAGTATTACAAATGCCTGCTACAAAAAAAAAAGATAACCGTCAAAAGAGAAAAACAATTGATGAATCAATTAAATCACCAGAAAAATATGCCAAAAAAGGTACATACTTGTTTACATTTGTGTGCAAAGATTTTCTTAAAATTCATTTAAAAATGTCTAACCCCTTTACAGGGGTTTTTAAATTCTCAGTTTTTGATATTGTTTTTAATACAGTTTATCAATGTTTTGTTTTTTTATTCATCTGCAAAAATTGTTTTTTTATTAACCTTTATGTCTATACTGAATGGGTTAGTTCTACAACAATTGACCTTCCTGTCACTAATATCATATCTTGTATTTTTTTTTCTTACCTAGCACAAATTATGTGACTTCTCATGCTTTCCGTGAGAGGCCAGTACTTAATAACAATTCAAGAAGATTTAAAGTAGAGGACTTATATAAGTGTTCCTATTCATTAATATAGGAATATCAGCAGTAGTGATGTACTGATGGCAAAGGCTGATTATGGCTAATAATAGGTTTTTATGTATTTTTATAAGGACATCATATTAATATTGAGGATGTAAAATACATATATAACATTTTCCTATACATCAGCAGTGATTCAACCTACTAGCCTATGCTATTGGTAACCAGCAATCAATGAATCGGCTTAACTAATGGGATCTGTTGATTAATCTGGATTGGCTGATGCATTAGCATCAGCTAATAAGCCAAACCAAACTGATGCAAAGGCGCAACTTATATATGTAAATTGCATACCTAATATTTGTATATTACCTTTATATTACCTTATCATTAGCCTCAATTGGCCTTTGCCATTGGTACCTCACTAATCAGCAACATTGTGATAATTTTAGCAACTAATTTTTTTTTTGAGTTAACTTCACAATCTGAGTCAAAATCAACTGCATGTTCCAGGCTTGGTCGGGAAGCGGGAGCGATCGCTCTCGATTGCTGACCACGTAAATAATATTTAGTTGCGAAAAGCTGGCCAGATTTTTTAGTCGCTTTGAGAACATTTTAAAAAGCAAAAAAAAAAAAAAAGTGTTGAAGATTAATTGGACCGATGAGAGACAATTACAAAAAAAAAAAAAAAAATAGGTAAATAAAATGTCTTTAAACGCGAAAAAGCTAAATAAATTACGTTTAAAACAAAAATTTTAAAATATCGCTCTTTTATAAAATTAAGCGATGTTCTTTATATAAAGTAACAAATTACGATTGTTTAAAGAGGAAACAAATATTCTTTATTTAACAAAGTATGCAAGCTCTAGTTTAATTTTAGCTAAACAATTTTATAAATAATAAAGTTAATTTTTTCAATACCTATTTTATGTTTCGCGTAGTTTGAAAAGTTTAACATATTTGAAGCATTTCTTCTTAGTAAGATAAACAAATGAAATAATTAATTCACAATATCTCTGGTGATGTTTAGTGAGTGGGCTTTTTAATTTTAATTAGTATTTAAAGCAGAAAAAAGTATAACGAGTTTTTAGAATGGCAACTTAAGCGAAAATAATTAGAGTTAGTAAACCAATATCTAGTAACTTTTCTTTATATCTAATTATTTGCTATATATATTTGTGTTCTGTCGTGACCTCAGGCGCGGTGCTTGTTCATCTGCGAGTTACTTTGTACGCGTTGTTTGTGTTTAGTAACTAGAAACTTCTTAAATGTTTGTTACGTAATTATAGTTTTATTAACTATAACGATTATAACTTCATTGAAAACGCAATTATTTTTGTAAGTCTTTGTTTAAATCGTAAAAATTGCTTTAAAAGATACATTACGATAAAAAACAGATAAACAAAATTAAATTTACATAAAGAATACATACTTTTTAAATAAAAAATAAGAATATACTAATAAAATCTATAATTTATAATAAACTTTTAACATTTTGACAATTTAATATATATTTAAAACTTTTATTTTTGTAAACAAATAATATATTTATTCTTAAGACAAGTGATGCTAGAAATCTCAAAAACGTAACAAATCGTTTCTAAAAACATTTCAACAGATTACTCTTCTTAATTTCGCTAAGTCTGCGTATTTTTTGAACCAATAGAATTAGTTTCTTCGTTAATTTGGCGGGTTTTTACTGTTCGCGAATATTCTTTTTGTTCTTTCGCACAAAGATGTTTTGAGAACATTTAAGTTTATTATGTTTCCATGTATGTCCGTAAAACAAAAGTTTTTTGTTTCGTACATAAACTTAAATGTTCTCAAACGACTAAAAATCCTGGCCAGTTTTTCGCAACTAAATATAATTTCCGTGGTCAGTATTCGAGAGCGATCGCTCCCGCTTCCCGACCAAGCCTGATGTTCTCAGCAATCAAAAAATGATGACATTTTTGTCAAGACTAGGTTTTATAGTTATGTCATCAGCAAATAGAGCAACTTTAAAAATAAGATTATCAGATCATTGTTATAGATAAGAAACAAAACCGGGATACTTTGATTCTGTTTAACCTAGAAGTTACTAGAAATAAAAATAAGTGTTGGCCTTTAAAGACAACCTAATACCTTTAGAAAAGAATGACTTAATAGTTGCTTTCCTAGATACACCATATAAAGGGAGGTTATAGAGAAGCTTGCAAATCTTTATTGAAAACTTTTGATATGTTAAGAGCAATATTCTTTTTTTATAATCATAAATATTTAAAAAAATATAACTAATTATAGCTAAAAGTGTTTCGAGGCTTCAAAATTATTTTTCTTTTACTACAAATCCTGTAGTGTAACCATAAGTTTTTATCAATAACGTTTGTCTTCCTTGGGTCGTCTTCTATTATTATCAGTAATTTTTATGTCTTCCTTGGGTCATCTATATTTATCAGTAATTTTTTGTCTTCTTTGGGTCATCTTCTATAATTATCAGTAATTTTTATGTTTTCCTTGGGTTGTCTTTATAATTATCAGTAATTTATTTCGTAATATATCAGACTGTTAAAGTACAATTAACACGAGAAATAAAAATAATAAGAAACTGTTTAATTAAAAATAGTTTATTTTATTAAAAAGAGAAAAAGTGTTTTATTATTCTTATTTGATCTTCTCTTAGTTTGAACAGTTTTTGATTTAATTTGAAATACAACAAATTCATTTTTTAGAAGAAAAAAAATTTATGTGCATCATTAATGATGTTTAACCTTTTGTTCAATAATAAAATTTTATATTAAAGTTTAAATAAAAAGTTTATTTTAACTATGACAAATAAAATGTTATGCATTATTAATGATTCATGTTCCTATTCAAGTGATTCAAATTTTGAAAATTATATAATGCAATTTGGTGTATAAATACAATAAATTCAAAATGTATTTAACAATAATGTATAAATACAATAAATTCTTAATGTATTTAATAATAATGTATAAATACATTAAGTTCTTTTTGCAAGTTTCTTTAAAATAATTAAAAGTAATAAGGGTCAAATCATTATATTTTAACCAATTTGAAGAAAACTTTGTGGGTCGCCATCTCTGATTTTCCTATTTTTACATATTGTTATGTGCATTATGTAGATAGGTTAAAATTTGAAATTTCTGACTTTCAAGTAAAATGATTCAGAAATTATAGCCTTAGAAACATGACACAGTGGCCCCCCTAGATTTAAAAATGGTCAAAACAGATTACTTTAGAGCTGTATAACTTTTTTCTCACCTTCAACAAGTGTCTCATATTTTCTCACCTTCAACAAGTGTCTCATATTTTCTCACCTTCAACAAGTGTATCATTTTTTCTAGAACTATTTTCTGGATAGTTCTCTTTTTAAAAAAGTGGTTTTTTATTAACTTGCGTTAAATTACAAAAAAATTATGGCCTCCTCAACTTTAGAAAAAATCCTAAAATTGCTAAAATATGCCAAAATGAAACTAACTGTAGCGTTATTCTATTCATCCGCAAGTCTTTACAGACAAGTTTTCTGATTAGCTACTACTGTCTACAATAAACGGGCAAAAATGTCTAAAAGCAAAATATCCACTCATCTAAAAAGTCCAATTTTCAGCCATTTTGAGATGCTTGAAAATTTTTCTAACATTTTGTTTTGATCTAGGATTAACAGCATATAAAACCAATAGACTCAACTATCTTAAAATGCAAACATTATTAACTTATCAAATCCAAACCAAAATTTTTAAATAACCCTATTTTATAATTATCAACGGTTGAATGTATTACTAAAAAGCAGTGCCTCTCTAATCCGCTAACTGGCCTACATGAAGGGTGCAATTAATTATAAGTTGTTTCTTAATAAAATAAAGATATAGTTGGTTGTCCTCTCCTTGATCTGGTCTTTATAGTAGATAGGGGCACAAATAAAGGGGGCAGTAACTTTTTAAAGACCTTCATTATGGTTCAAATGAAGGTCTCTAAATTAATTTGGATATTTTATTTAATATCTAAATATCTAAATTAATTTCAAAATGAAACCATTATTTCTTTAAATTCTATTTTATTATAGGTAATCAGTGGTTTGTATGTGGTCTGGACCCTCTTCCCTCCTCCCCCACTGACTAAGGGGGGAGAGGGGGAGAATGTTTGGAGTGGCACCAATCAAAAGTGCCGCCCTGATTTTAAACAGTTATTTAGTTATTGTAACCTAAAATTGCTGAAAATTGCAATATTAAAAAAAGTTTTGGAAACTTTAATGTGCTACAGTTCAATACCTACAGATAGGCAGTGCAAATATTTTGTTAATTTTGTCTATTTAGGGTAACCAACTGTGGTAAAAAGCAAAATTATGCATTAAAAGTTAGTTAAACACTTGCAGCAGCCTGTTAAAATATCACTTTTTTTGAAAAATATGATAAATTACATTCACTTTGCAGGAAAATAACGTAGACAGTTAAAATTATGAAGCTTATACATATACTCTGTAAAAATTATTTCTCTGGTACCAAAACTGCCATGCTTGGGACTGTGCTCATATCTTTATATATTGTTTATGGAGGTTAAAATAAGTTTTATGGTTATAAATATCATCACTTGACAGGGGCGGGTTTTGTTTTGCTTGCCAAGGAATGGGCTAAAAAGTATAATTACATATTATAGTTAATTTCTTTTATTAAAGGGTTAACTGAGTATATTAATTCAAGGAAAAAGTTTAAAATATACACCTTGGTCATAGGGCTAGAATCATGTCTATGCTAGAGTATAGCTCTTTAATTTTTTTGGGGGGATTGTCTATAAATAGAACCTTGCCAGTAAAAAGTTTCATAATTTATATTAATTAAAGTATGTGGGTGGTCAAAATTTGAAGCAAATCTGAGGTGGTACTCTGGGGCACTTTTTAAAAATTAAATGATTTAATATGGAATAATTCTTTAGAAATTTTAAAATTTTTTCCAAAGTTAAGGAGGTCAAATTTTTTTTATAATTATCACAAGTTAATAAAAACCACTTTATTAAGGAGAGAACTATCCAGAAAATTTCTTAACTGCTGTACTTGGAAATCTGAAATTTCATATTTAACCTATCTACATAATGCACATAAGAATATGTAAAAATCAGGAAAATCTAAGATGGTGACCCACAGGCCATAGGTTGAAATATAATGATTTGATCCATGTAGTTTTTATAATTAATATGATTTTATTATTAAACACACTTTTTTTAGTAATAGCTCTCTAGTTGCCCTTCGAGACTACTGACTGGTATTTTTTTCTAAATTGCATTTGCCCTTTGCAAATACAAGTCATCCTGTAATCTGTTTTTTAACATAAAAGCCAACAAAATCTCCTATCATATTTATTTTATCAAAAATTCTGTTTTATTTCACAGAATATGAATTTTTAAAGTCACAGTATGAAATAAAGTACTCTAAATTTATTTTGATTTTTTATTTAGATGATAAATTAGTTCAAAAAGTTGGTCACATTTTAACATTAGGCCAAGGGGATGTTGGACAGTTAGGTCTTGGAGAAAATGTTTTAGAAAGAAAAAGACCAGCAATGATTAAAGAGGTAGAAGGTGTAAACTTCATCCAAGTTACTTGTGGAGGTATGCATACAATTGGAGTCTCTGAACATGGGGAGGTAAACATATTATTTTATTTTTATTTTTATTAAAAATCATTTTAGATTTAATATTTATTGTTAGATTTAATATTTATTGTTATAATAATAATAATTATTATTATTAAGTCATATACAAAAATTAATACAAAGATAAAGATATATAAACCACTAAATGGATATTTTAGTTTATTTTAAAGAAAGATAACTGTAGAAGTCTTACTTAAACAGCACTCGTTTATTTATTCATAGTATGGTAATTTCATTTTTTGGCCTTTTTATTGTTTTTCATCATATACTTGGCATATTTTCTTATGAAATCAATAGCATTTGTTAAGATTCTCTTGAAATCAATAACATTTATTTGTAAATAAGTTACTTATGCACAATTCACTGTCTTGACAAATGCTTTGTCAATTTTTACATTATGTCCACAAATTCTGGATGCTGGTCCTGATACATTGGTTGATTGAGTTTGATTAAGGTTATAAAATCTGTTCCACTATTTTTAAATACTTAATAGCATCTGTTCTGGTTCTTCTGCCTTTTAATGTAGTGAAATTTAAAATTTTCAGCTTGGTATTGTAATTATAATTTTTGAATCCTTAAAACCAATTTTGTAGTTTTCCGTTGCACTTTTTCAAATGTCTCAATATCCTATTTATATTGCAGATTCTAAATTTGAAAAGAATACCTGAGATGTTGAATGTATCCTTTTTAAGTTATATCAAACAATTTTTTTTCGGTTTTAATAAATGTGTTTTGCATAACATTCAACACTTAGTAGGCTTTAGAAGCTGCAACATTAACTTGCGTTTCCATTTTAAATCACACAATATTATGGCACCAAGATCTTTTTGATGTACACATGTTGATAAAGAGATTGAGTTATAAACATCTATACCCATTGTATAGCTAAAATTTGAATCTAAAATTAATTTTTTTTTTTTTTCCATAATACACTACCTCACTTTTTTTGTATATTTTAGTTTTGTAAACTATGACGGTCTTCTGATGATTTTATTGATTAGTTTTTTATCATCAGCATAAATTTGAAAGGTATTTTAATATGGTTTGACATGTCGTTAATGAATATGGTAGGTAAAGGAGGTCCTAATACAATACCCTAGGGTTTTCCATTTAAAACAAACTTCCATTCTGAATTCAATTCAGCTCTAAAGACCTGTGTTTGTTTTAAAAAGAAATTTTTAGTGGTGGTTGACTTTGTATAACAAAGATTCGAGATGAATTATTTGTTATTATATCCAAATCATTTGATAATTTATACAAAGCAGTTGGTTCACAAGTTTATTGAAATAATGAATGATTATTCAGCAAATCTAAAAATCTTTGAGAGTCTGATTCAAAACTTTCATTTGTATAATCAAAATTGTCCCACATTACATTTGTTTATGTCCCAAACTATATGTGTTCATGTCCCACACTATTTGGATAATTAAAATCGCCTGTAATCATAAAATCATTTAATTCTTTCATATCTAGCTTATGCCTAATGGTTTCAAATACTTTGTTCAAACCTTGACTCATTGTTTGTTTTGCATCAACTACTGGTGGTTTATAAATGCAAACCTACTAAAAATTGAAATTTCTATTTTTATTGAACACCAAACATCATCATTAGCTTTTATTTGAAATAAAATTTTGACTTAAATATGTTTTTTTAATATAAATAATTTCTGCTCCTCCTTGATAGTCTCTACAGTTATATTTAAAAGAAGTCCATTTGAAATATAAATATATAAAATAGTGAATCAATTTTTGTGGTACTTGTTATATGATGCAGGCAAAGTATTTAATTTCATTGCTTCAAATTTATTAAACTAAAGTATTTTACAAATTTTTCGTTGTGTAAAAACATTCAACATACTTTTATAATTAATGTTGCTTTGGGTTTGAAATTTCTGATTTATGTTTTTTATTTGGTTAATTTTATTTTTTGTTAATAATTTGTTTTATAAGAATTTTTAAATTTAATCATGCGGAACAAGTTTTTGTTATTTTTGTTTGACTACAGATGTCGTAGGATCATAGTTTTAATTTGCCGCTTCATAAAATTCCATTGTTCTGCTGTCCGATTTTTATGAGCATGAACGAATTTTAGCTTTTCTATATTTCTGAAATTAATGTTTTTTGAGCTCTGTAACTAAGTAGTCCTGCTAAATTTGCAAAGAACCTTTCTTCTAATTCCACTCTTAAATCTTATGGACATTCTCTTCCTTCCATTCCAGTCAAACAGGTTGACTCATTGTTAGACATTCAAATCACTCCGGCTTCTGTTGCTAAACTCATATCTCAATTAAACTCGTCTACATATTGTGGTCCAGACAACAATCCACAGTCTTGCAGAATTGTTCTCCAGAACTTTCTTCAATTCTCTCTAAACTATTTAACAACCCGACGGGCATTTGTTTTTAAAAGTTACGTTCTAAATGTATTTTAAATGTCTTTTAAATGTTTTTTGAGTAAGAATGTTTAGAAGACGTTTAAAAAACATTTAAAATACATTTAGAACGTAACTTTTAAAAACAAATGCCCGTCGGGAAACGTTTGACTGAGTCTTGTTTTCCTACTTGTTGGAAAATGGCATCTGTGGTTCCAATATTCAAAAATTCTGGAGAAAATTCTGATCCCTCCAATTATCGTCCGATCAGTCTTCTTTCTGTTATTAGCAAGGTCTTTGAGTCTTTGATCAACAAATTCCTCACATCTCATCTTGAGTCAAATAAACTACTGTCAGACAATCGATACGGTTTTCGATCCTCTCGCTCTACGGCCGACTTGCTAACTTCTGTGACTGAAAGATTTTATCGTGCATTAGATGGAGGTGGTGAGGCTAGGACTATTGCTCTCGACATATCTAAAGCTTTCGACAAAGTTCTCCATAAACTTGCTTCATATGGTATTTCTGGGAAAGTTTTTGAGATTATCAAATCATTTCTTTCTAACCGGTTTATTAAAGTCATCCTTGAAGGCCAACACTCTTCTTTATTTCCAGTAACTTCTGGGGCTCCTCAAGGTTCCATCCTGGGCCCTGTTTTGTTTCAAATCTACATAAACGATCTTCCTGTCAACCTTTCATCTAAAGTAGCTCTTTTTGCTGATGACTCAACTTTATACTCCTGTCTTGACAAAAAGTCTTCTCTTTTCGATCGCCTAGAACAAGCAGCTGATCTTGAATCCCATCTCACTTCAGTAATAGATTGGGGTTCACAGTGGCTTGTGAATTTTAACTCTAACAAAACCCAGTTGTTTACTGCAAACAACTACCGTAATATGGTCAACATTCCTATATTAATGAATGGCAATCCTCTAACTGAGTCCTCCTCTTTACGTCTTCTTGGATTATCGCTTACTACTGACCTTTCATGGAAACCATATATACAATCGATTGCTAAATTAGCTTCTGCTAAGGTTGCTTCTCTTTATCGTGCTTGCCATTTCCTTACTTCTGATTCCATTCTCTACCTCTACAAATCTCTTATTCGTCCCTATATGGAATACTGTTGTCATATTTGGGCTGGTTCTTCTAACGATTCACTTTCTCTTCTTGACAAGGTCCAAAAACGTATTGCAAATGTTGTTGGATCTGCTAAGCTTGAGCCTCTTTCCCATCGTCGTAAAGTTGCATCTCTTTCTCTTTTCTACAAATACTATCATGGTCACTGCTCAAAGGAGTTATCATCTCTAGTTCCATCAACTAAAATTCATTCTCGTTTTTCTCGTCATTCAGCTAAGTCTCATTCGTTTACTGTATCTGTCCCTGCATGCTCTAAAAACTCTTATTCATCTAGTTTTTTTCCCCGCACTTCAATTCTTTGGAACTCTCTCCCATCTTCATGTTTTCCTGACTTATACAACCTTCAACTTTTCAAGTCTTCTGTCAACCGTTTCCTTGCTCTATAACTCTGTTCTTTTTTTTTTCCTAGTAACTCCCAACTTAATAGTGGTTGCTTGCAGCCTTGTTGGGAGTAAATGCAAATAAAAAAAATAAAAATAAAAATCAAGATGTCTTTTTACAGTGTTTTCTGAAACTTTTTGTTTCTTTAATTACATCTTGAGCAAATGAGTGTTCTTTTCACAAATCTCACCTACCTACAATTAGCTACTTTTGAGTTTTTTTTTTAGTTTTGGGAGAACGACATTAATTGTAATTTGTTTTTATTGTAGCTCTGAATTTATTTCTCTTGAATCATTGGTTGCTGACAGATTTTTTGACATAATACTTAACAGATGTTATACTTGACAGTTTACGTTATATATATATATATATATATATATATATATATATATATATATATATATATATATATATATATATATATATATATATATATATATATATATATGTTGTATTTATTTATATATGCATTATATATGCAACTATAATATGTTGTATTTATTTATATATGCACTAGATTTTTAACTTGCGGTATTTTTTTTCTTGATTTTGTAAAAAACGCCTAAAAAATACATCGCATACAACATTTTTTTATCAATAAATGAAGATTTTACCATTTATTCGTGTTGTTCTCATACTATAGTATGAGAACAACACGAGTCATCAGTTACTATATTGTTACAGTTCACTGTAAATATAAAAAGTTTCGTTTTTCTAAAAAAAACCGTTTGTTGTTCTTCTCTGGTAATTTTTTAATAATAATTTTTAATTATTTTTTTAATATATTTTTATAAATAATGTTTTTTTCTACTGTATTTAAGGTATACTCATGGGGGTGCAACGATGATGGAGCTCTGGGTAGACCTACTGAAGGAACTGACGGTGAAGAATTTATTCCACGCAAAGTATTGTTACCGCAGGGTATTCGTGTTGTGTATGCATCTGCTGGTGATAGTCATTCAGCTGCTCTTACGGATGACGGACGAGTTTTTGCATGGGGAGCTTACAGAGTAAGTAATTGTTTTGCACAAAAAAAAAAAGTGTTATATTTTTAAGTATGCGTTTAACGACCACGTTTGTTGCAGGACGCGAGTGGACAAATTGGCTTAACGGCAGCGTCTATTGGCAAAAAAAATGAAGTTATTAAGATTTACCCTAAAGGCGACCAAATAGATGATCCTGCAGTAAAAGTGGTTTCTGGAAACGATCATACAGTTATCTTAACATCTGAGGGACTGATATATACAAGCGGAACTGGTGAACAGGGGCAGCTCGGAAGAATAAAAGAATGTTTTGGTCACCGTGGTGGACGTCGTGGTCTCGAAATCATACTTTCACCCCAAGTAGTTCGCTTCAGAAAAAAACAATTTTTTTCTGATATTTTTGCAGGCAGTTTTTGTACATTTGCCTTGAGTCGCGATACTAATGACGTATACGCGTGGGGGTTAAATAATTACGGACAACTTGGATCTGGAACAACTGAGAACTTTTTTAATCCTGAAGTTATTCAATCTTTAAGTGAAATTCGAGAACATGCTAATGGCTATCTACAAATACATGGGGGGCAACATCACAGTATTGTAGCTGATGGAAATGGAAAAACTTATTCTATCGGTCGTTCAGAATACGGACGATTAGGATTAGGAAAAGATGCTAAGGAGACTTCTCTACCAAAAAAAATTGATTCACTTGAAAAAGAAAATGTTGTTAAAATTGCATGTGGTGAAGCCGTTAGCTTTGCTGTTACCGACAAAGGACATTTATACTCTTGGGGTTTAGGTACAAGTTTACAATTAGGAGTTGGCGACGATGAAGATATTTTTGATCCATCGCTTGTTCAATCAAATAACTTAACACTAGCACAAGACGAGGTACTTGCCGTGTCTGCGGGTGGACAGCATACCGCTATATTGGTCCGGAAAAGAGAATCCAAAGACACGTTATAAACGGTTATAGTCTTTTAAAATTGCTGTAATTAAGTGTGATATCCCCTACTTCAGGGTCTAACCATACTCTTCGACTTGAGAATTTTTTTTTCAAAATTTTTAACTTTATTTTGATAATATATATTTAGGGTTATAAAACTACGAAATCGCAGTTTCGTAAATTTAAAATTTTCCTGTTTAGTTCTGTCATAAAGCGTACATAATAAAAATTTTTGCAATGCGACTTTAGGGTTTATTTAAAATCGAATATCTTCAATCGAATTTTTGTCGAATATCTTCGAACAGATAACTTTTTCGTAACGTTTTTTAACTTTGAAAGTTATCTGGCAATTAACGTTATTTAATTTAGAAGTTAATTATAAGTAAGATCTTTAAGAATCTTCGCATAAATTACATACACAACACAAAGTAATATCTGATCTTTAGAGTGTGGACTATGTCACAGTTGTTTAAATATTATACAGTTGAAAAATCCACGGGAAGAAACGGCATGGTTACATTTTTTTATTTTGAGAAAACTCAATATTAAACTTTAAATTCTATGTAACCTTTTAATTTTAAAAAAAAAATTGTAAACTTGTAAGGTATTTTGCAAGTAACCTTATCTTTTTTTCAATTAAATTTATATTTCCAGGTGACGTGCAGTAACTTTCATTTTAGATTATCTTTTTTAAGTGAAGTTTTTTTTAGACTCTGCTGTTTTTTCCCCGGTATAACGACTGTATTCGATTTTTTATAAATTCATAAACAAAATTATTTATTTTTTAGTTAAAGTAACTTAATAAAATAGTTCTATCTTCTCTTTTAACATTTTCGAAGCATTTCAACCTTTTACAGTTACATCTAAGCCCTGTTTTATAAGATGCTAGCATTTGTTTTTTTATACTTTTGCGCAATCTTTCTTTGTTTTTTCTTTTCGTGGATTTTTTTGTTACTTGTTCTAATAGTTTAAATGACGCCATTTTTAGTAATAAACATTAACCGAATCATCTGCGAGTATTATGAAAAAAAAAGGACTTGGAGCTTTCAATCTAAGTCTTGATATTACGAAGTAGTGTTTGGTTTATGTCTTTTAGTAAGTTTCGATTGTTTAAAAACTGGGGATATATTTGTATATTAAAGAAGAGAAGCATAATTCTATTAAACTTTAAATATACATAAAATCAATTATTTGATCGAAAATCAAATACAAAAGATGGCTCTGTAGTTTATAAAGCTAGAAAATCAAAAAAGTCAAAATTTTCAAAATGTGACCCTGCCGTTTCTTGCGGTGGAGTCTTCAGTTGTTTTATTGTCATCATTATTGTGAATCATATTTGATTGAACGCTTTTTTTAATTTAGCACGAATTAATTTGAGATTCTATGATATCTAGTTAAAGCAACTAGAGACGTGACACCTTTTTTTGGTTCTTATTTTTTTTAGTCGTTTTTTTGGGAAAAAAAAAGCAGGGATCCGATTTTTTTTGTTTGTTTAGGAAATATAAAAAAACTCTCCATTACTAAATTTAACTTTAATGATAATTTAATTTAACTCTAATGGCAATATCTGAATTTTTTTTTTAATTTCAGATTTAAAAAGACAATTAGTACTGTTTTGGTATACTTAAAGGTAAACGCGGTTAGAGCAGTCATGTATAAAAACAATTATAATGAAATTGAGGAAGATAAAATTATAAAGATAATTTTATTTTATCATTTTATAATTGAATTATTATTTTAGATTTTAGCAAACAAAAAAGTTTTTCAACTAAACAAAAATAAGGAGTTTAACTCGTTTTTCCATAAAATATTTTTTCTCTCACGTTTGAAACAAGGAGGAAAAATTTTAGGGCTTCGTTGTTCCCAGGCTCTGATTATCTCAATATTTTGCTAAACATCCTTATTTGACATAAACATGCTAGGCGTTTACTCTACGTCTGGAAGTTAGCTAGCTCAAACACCAAAAAACACAGAATCCGTCCTTGTCTCAACTATATTAAAACTTAAATTTCTTAAAAATACCTCTAGAATGAAACAACAGAAACTGTTGAATGTTCTTGAAAATTCTAGATAATCAATTGAACAGTTTATTTTTAATTGTTTTATTTAAAATTAATTACTGCTAAAACTCAGAGTATTGTGTCAAATTGAGCTTACCGAGACAAATATTTCTTATTAAAAACAGTAATAATATAGCTTGTTTTCAGTCTACTTAGAAACGTAGTATGTCATAAATTGAAAAAAATTTTTAAATAAATTTGAGAATAACACAGCTCTACATGGGCTCTATATGGGGATCCAGGGTTTAGTTAGGATATCATTTCTCTACCATCTGGAGTTTGTTCTACATTTAAAAAAGGTTAAAAAAGTTTCTTCATGCAATTTTTAAATTATTTTTTTATTTAATTAAATAAAATTAAGGTATATTTCTCAACACAGAAGATTTGTGGAGGATTAATACGGAAACAAGGTAAATTACAGGAAACTAGTTGTTGTACATATTCCATTAGCTTTATTGCAAAAGAAAAGTCACAAGATATTGTTATTTCTTAAGAATATTAGTAATGAGCCTGATGTGAATAATGCCTCTTTTTGCACAGATTGCTGATAAAGGATAGAACATCCTTGCACAAGATCTGCAAAATCTACACGAGCTCATTCTTTCTCAAGACTCAAAAACTTCCTAACATGTTATTTCTTCAATACTAAAAGATATATTTAAAACATCTTACAGTAAAAAATTTACTGTAGCAATAGATAGATATGTATTTATATCTCTCTATCTATTTATACCTGTTAAGAATTTTATAAAATATGTTTATATTGAAGTCAAACATTAGTGAATAGAACATTATCTATTGTAGATGGTAAAGCTCTTCATGTTGCTCTCTATTCTAGAGATGTGCATAAACCTATTTTAAAAATGTATTCATATACATTATTTACTATAAAAAAGAAAATGGATCTTTCCATATCACCAATGGATTATATAGTGGCTAAGATGCGTAAAGATTTGGGTCGTGGATGTAAATATAATTTACAGTAACTTTATTTTGCATATATTTGTATTATTTATATGTTTGAGGAGCCCATTTGCAAAAATTCTGAGTAAACCGGTTTTGAAAAAACAGCGAAAAACTAAACTCCTCTAAGTTGCGCAACAGAAGTTCATACTTTCTTTGTCTATATTTAGGACCTAAAATTTTAAATGGTCTAATATTTAAATAGATAAGAAATTTCAGTATATAAAATGTGGAAATGGAATTAACTAAAAATAAAATTTTACTTTTGTGAATTAGCGCGTCTTAGCCTCTAGATTTTTTGGAGCTTTTACCTATTTAAGATAACTCCGTTATCATTTTAAATAGATAATAGTTCCAAAAAAAACTAAATAAAACTATCTAAAAAAATTATCCGCATTTATAAATTTGGCATGATTATTTTGCTAGGTATTAAATTTATTTTTTTTATTTATTTATTTGTCATATACAAACATTTTACAACGTTCTTATTAACAAGCTTCAAAAAAAAAAAAAAAAAATCAAGCCCCTATTAGTAAACGTGAAGTGTTTTTTTTTTTTTTTTTTCCTTTAACAAGTCCACTTTATATAAATATATACTTTCTCATATTACAAAACAATATAAAATAACTACAATAGAATAAATAGATTTAGAAAATAAAAAATAAAAAAACTAAAATAGAAAAAAAGAAAATAAAACATGATTTTATAGTATACAGTGGGGTGCAGAATTATAACCTCACCTGTATAGTATACCTTAAAACTATCTTTCAAAGTTTGTTGATCAAATTCTATTTGTAGATCATTTTTTGAAATAAACAAAATAATTTACATGAATCTATTTATACTTTAATTAACTCAAATTATAAAACCGTTTAAAACCGTGGTGCACAATTATAACCTCGTTATCTAAATTGCATCAAAAGTTGTTAAAAAATAGTAGTAAATTCCGTTTTCAAATAAAATTTATTACATTTAAAAATTATAAAAAACATTCTAACAAATGCCAAGAGGAAATACACTCTCCGATGAAGAAAAAGGCAAGATCGAAGCCTACAGATCATTGCGTTTATCAAACAGGGCAATTGCTTGCAAACTGAGACGTTCACCACGTTTGATCAATAATTTCGTAAATGATCCAACAAATTATTGCACGAAGCATCGAAGTGGTAGAAAACCTATACTTACAACAGCAACGCTCGCCAACAGCAACGAATTGTGCATGCTAGTAACCGTTCAATCTCCGCGAGACAAATAGGCGCTGTTTTGGGATTGAACTGCTCAAGATGGTGAATCGTGAATTAACAAGTCAGGCATTCTTAGATATGCAAAAAAACGCACATTTCCAGCACTAACTGAAGCGCACAAACGCATTCGTCTTCAATGGGCCAAGGACCACATGACTTGGGAAAAAAATTGTGTGATCCGATGAAAAAAAATTCAATCTTGATGGTCCAGACGGCTTCAATTACTACTGGCATGACATAAGAAAAGAGAAAATATTTTCGAAAAGAAGGGCTATGGGAGGCGGAGGAGTAATGATTTGGGGTGCGTTTGGTTATTTTGGAAAGACTTCAATTAGCTTTATTACTACTAAGTTAAATGCAGAAGGATATAGAAACTTGTTGAATGGTCATTTGAATGATATTTCACAAAAATTTGGTAACACCAATTTCATTTTTCAGCAAGATAATGCTCCAATTCATAGAGCAAAGTCAAATATCTCATGGTTTACCAGCAAGAAAATTCAATTATTAGAATGGCCAGCGCTCTCACCTGATTTAAATCCCATTGAAAATGTATGGGGCATCTTAGCAAGACGTGTTTATGCAGAAGGGAAACAATATTCGAATGTCGATGAATTAAAAAAGGCAATTGTTCATGTTTGGAAGAACATATCTCTTGCAGATCTTAGAAAACATTCGGAAAGTATGCCTAATCGAATATTTGAAGTTATTCAGAATGGCGGCAATAAAGCAAAGTACTAATAAAAAATTCAAGTAGCAATACAAAACATTATGGAATTTTGTAGAGTAAAATTAAAATGAGGTTATAATTTTGCACCATAATTTTT